AGAGAGAGAGAGAGAGAGAGAGAGAGAGAGAGAGAGAGAGAGAGAGAGGAGGAAGGAAGAAAGGAAGGAAGGAAGGAAGGAAGGAAGGAAGGAGAGAGAGAGAGAGAGAGGAGGAAGGAAAGAAGGAAGGAGGGGAGAGAGAGAGAGAGAGAAAGAGAGAGAGAGAGAGAGAGAGAGAGAGAGAGAGAGAGCAAGCTTAAGTTTTCACCGTCCAGTTATTCTTTTAAAGGCTTTACCACATAAGCAATGACCATAGATCCACGCTCTAAACTGACAGACAGAAGAGAATCTATTGGTAAACTTGCAAATGAAGGTGTGCTTCAGACCCCAGTGCGCTGCTGGCTGTGCAAGGCCTCAGACTCAGCACAGGGAGGCTGCTCCTCACGATTCCGAACTGCACACAGCAGCCTTAGCAGTTCCCAAGGTTTCTAAGTTTTCAGAAGCCAAGGCCCCTGTCTTCTCAGCAAACGATAGCAGGAAAAGAAAGGCACAGGGGGGCCGAGGAGATGGCTCCGTAGAATAAGTACTTGCCTGGCAAGCACAAGGGCCTGAGTTCAATCCCTGGTTCCGCAAAAAAAAAAAAAAAGAAAAGAAAAAAAGAAAAGCACAGCAGAGAATGGAAGCCATAGCCTTGGCTCCCTTTCTGTTAGGAAATGCAATGTGGATTATTAACATAAAAATTTTAAAATGAATGTATTCATTCGAGTACAGGAGCAAGCACAGTGAGTGTCTACAACAGCCTCAACCTTGTCCTGCAGCTAATTGTGCAGCGTGGAGCCTCTGGGCAGAGAAGAACCTGTGGACCTAGGTGGCAGTGTTCCACTTTTATGCTGATTAAGAATAAGTGAATTCATGCTCACCAAATCTTTAGACAGAGAGCTTACTCTTGAGTGACCACAGCACCTAATTTAGTGACTCCAAATCAAGTGTCAGTGGATGTGGCCTTGTGTAGGTACCACTGGTACCATCACTGGCGAAACAGTGAGTATTTAAATGAAAACATGTTTAGATAGTTTTATCCAAATAAACTTCAGCAATTAGATTTTAATCAATGCTTAACTTCTCTTTTCAAATTTAAAATGAAAGTCTTTTTCTCATCCTAAAATGAATTAAAGCCTTCTCATATTGATTTTTCAGCAAAGAAAAAAGCGACAAGAAAACTGACACTAATACACAGAGTAGCTCCTAAGAAAGCAGACAGGACTGTATTTTGTATTGATCCTGAAGCTCATTTGAATTAGACAATATCTAGTTGTGTGATAGTAAGGGAATTCCCTGAAAGGTTTACAAATCCGTCCTCATGACTAGGATTTTAGTTATAAAGTAGCACCTCAACCTTTCGCCACCTTCCCAACAGCCACCTTCCCAACAGCCAGGCACGAGTGTCGCATACTGAAGAATGAGAAACTGCGTGAAATAGAGTTACGCACAGCCCCTCGGTATTCTCCCAGGTAGGCTCTGCCTCTTCTGATTTGAGGAATTAAGATAATCGAAGGAGAGACACAGGGGTGGTTGAAAATGAAAATTACTGCCTGGGAATTCTCAATGTACTCCCCCTGAAGTAGGAGAAAAAGCAGAAATACAAAACTATTTTTAGCAAGCTGTCGAGCATAACCGTTCGCTTGGCTGGGATGCATTGCACTGACCCATCTCGAGATTCCCCGGCTTACCCAGTGTTTCCCTGAGACCACGCCAGTGAGGTTCTCTATTATATTCTGTATGGTGAAACTCACCCAGACTATTTTCTCTGAGAATGAATACAACTCTATAAGCTCAATGAATATATAAATCATGCGAATTTTTACCTATAACTAGTTTTCTACGACAGCCTAGAGTGGCAAAGGGAAGGAAGAGAAGGCTGCTTTAAATTCCGGCTCGTCCTGGGGGTCACCCACCTTCTTCAAAGACGCGATGGTGGTCTGGTCATCCTGAGACAGCTTCAGGGCAGTGGCGACCTTCGCAGAATTAACCACAATCTCTGCATTCAGCTCTCTGCACTTGGCCATCAGGCGCTTCTCATTGTCGTACGACTTTTTCATAATGGTGTGAAGCTTCTCATATTCGACTCTAAATTTTTCCAGACTTTTGTCACCAGAAAGTTCACTGAGAACCTCTTGAAAATCTTTTTCGATTTCCTCAAACGCAGTTTCTTCCAGCGCGAGCTTTTCACCCTTTTCCTGTATAAAAGAGCAAGAATGGGGATGTGCACCCCAACAGTTACCCCACTGTTGTCAAGGAATTCCTGCTATTACCTCTGAATGAAGACCTTCATACAAACTAAGCAAAGCCCTGGCATGCAGAAAAATTAAGACACGTTGGGAAGTATGTTTTCATTTCCAGTGCCTTGACATATACTGGGTGAGGTCACACTGGAGTGAGTTGGGTTCTAATTCAGTATAATCCACACTGTCTGTCTGTCTGTCTGTCTGTCTGTCTCTCTCTCTCTCTCTCTCTCTCTCTCTCTCTGTCTCTCTCTCTCTCTCTCTCTCTCACACACACACACACACACACACACACACACACACAGAGATCATGAAGTGAAATAGACTCATGCAGGTGTGACCTAAGGAAGGCCAAGGTTTGTCATCCAAGGGTCAGGGATATAACTCAGTGGCTCAAGTGCCTGTCTGGCAAGCACAAGGACCTGAGTTTGATTCCCAGCACCAAAACATATATATATATTCTACTACCAGAGGATGAGAAAAGATGAGAAAGATGAGGCAGGATTACTCAGGGACTCAGAGGGAGCATGGCCCTGCCAATACCTTGATTTTAGACTTCTACCCTTCCAAACTCTGAGGAAAATAATAATAATAACAGCCAGGTGTTTTAAACCATCTAGGTTTTGGTATTTTGTTATGTCTGCTCTAGCAGATGAACATAGCTATTTCTTATTGTGAATAGCACAAGAATAATAATAAACTTATTGGGTGTGTTTAACATTTTTATTTAATCATTCAACAAAGCATTTTTCTCTCTTCCCCACACCTCTAGTAGTTAATACTAGGGCCTCACACACGCTGGGCCCACCCTACCTCTGAGCTGCAGTCCCAACCCCATTTGGTAAACATGGGTGGAGCATTTCCTATAGGTTCAGTTGTGCCATTTAGGAGATATCAAGGTAAGGAATAAGGGGCCTGTCCACAGGAAATTCCTATGTTACTAGCTGGCCGAGTAGGTTATGCAGATAGATTATAGAAATACAGGGTCTGGTCCCTGTCATGAAATGTTTTCAGAGCTCAATAAGAAAGCATGAAAGAGGGATTTATATCTAGTTGCAGGAGTAAAGCAAGAGGCATAGAGGAAGTGGCATTTGGGAGGACCGAGAAGGAAGAGAGGAACTGTCATCCGTGAATATAGTTGAAAAGACTTCCTTGCAAAATTCAAAGCTTAAGCAAAGGCCCAGGTTGGCTAACATGCAAGAGGCATGTGAGGGAGCAGGGAGGAGAAGGCCACGGGTTGTGGGAGGCGGCCCTGGAGACACTGAGTGGCATCCCAAGGAGCCTGAGGTGTAGTGTTCCAAAGGCCACAGAGAAGCACAGCAAGACTTTTTTTTTTTTTTTTTTTTTTTTTTTTTTTTTTTTTTTTTTTTTTTTTTCGGAACCAGGGATCAAACTCAGGCCCTTGTGCTTGCCAGGGAAGCGCTTATTCCACTGAGCCATCTCCCCGGCCCCTTACAGCAAGACTTTTGAGTAAAGACTTGGCAAGGCTGCAAGTCCTAGCTTACACTTGCAGCATTATGCCCTGGGCTTCTACACCAAAGGGTTTACTGTTAACACTTTATTCATAAAGAAACCAACGGAAATGATCTCTAATCTCAGTAGGAGAGTAAAACTCCAATTTGCCCTGAAAAGTTTGGGTGAAGTTTAGCTTCTGTCTTCACAAGCCTATCTTGCCCAATGTGAATAGACTACATGTTTTTAGTTTTCAAAAGCATTTATACCATTAATTAAAGCTCTGAAGATGACAGGTATGCAAAATATAACTTTTGGAGATTAAAATAGATGTAGACTCAGCACATCCATAACATTTCGCATAACAACTTTAGTATTAATTTTAGACTCAAAAGATGTTTCCTCCTGAGTAAAGCAGAGTATCGCAAAGAGAATGACGTAGTAGCAATCCCACGCGGAGGGAAAGGTCGCACTGAGGGAACACTGTGTGCTACCGCTCTGTTGCCCGTGCCGAGGTTCAACAGGGCACACATGAGGGTTTATCACAAGGGTGTTCTCAGTTGTGGCTTTAAGGTCCCACTCGATCAACAGCCTAATGATTCGTCTTCAGGCCAAGCTTCCCCTCGCACCCAGCACTGAGCATGGGGATGGACAAATACCAGAGCAGGAAAAACTGTAAAGGAAATTTATGAACAACAGCTTTTCCATACTGCCATTTAAAAAGTATACTCTTGGTCCAGCCAATAGCTCAGTGGGTTAAAGCGCCTGCTTAGGCATAGGCAGGGGCTGGGGGTTTCATTCCAGGGCTTGCCCCTGGGGAGCACTGAGGCTACGATTGAGACTGGGTGTGGTGGTGTGCGCCTGTAATCCCAGTGCTTGGGAGGCTGTAAGCAGGAGGATCACTATGAGTCCCATCTGTGTAGTGAGACCCTGTAGACCCTGTACTAAATAAATAAACAAACAAATAAAAGTGAACTCTTAAAGCAAAACTAGTCTCTGAGCTGCAGTCAAACCCCGTTAGGGTCTATATCCTTAGAGTACATAATGGTATTCAGAAATGTGGTAGCGATGCGAGTTGAGGCGCCTGCATTCTTTGCCCAGAGGAGCAAAGAACAAGGGGCGAGAGCAGGTCACGGGAAAGCGGCGGGGTCGGGGCAGCACAGACGTCAGAGAGGCGAGCCTGACCAGCCGGGAAACGAGCTAGACGGAGCGTGGCAAGGCAGCTCGGAGCCCTGGCCACAGAAGTGGAGCTCCTAAGGGGACTTGGCACGTGGAGCATGAGACGCGCCCGGGATTGCGTGGCAAGCGGGCGCTGAGAGAAGCCGCCCCAGGGCTGGCTTCCAGGAGCTAGACAGCCGCTCGGGGCTCCAGGCCCAAAGGGGTCCCACCCAAGTAAAGCGCTGATGTCCCGGTGGGAAAGTCATAATGATTTTTTTGTTTTGTTTGGTTGGGGTTTTTGGTGGAACCAGGGATTGAACTCAGACCCTTGTGCTTGCCAAGGAAGCGCTTATTCCACTGAGCCGTCTCCCCGTTCCTCATAATGATTTTTGAATAAGAAGGTGTGTTTCCATTTTGCAGCAGGCCTAGAGAGTCTTGTCGCAGACCCCGGCTGTGGCTGGAATCTCCCCGCTAAGGGCGAGGTGAGCAAAGGGCAGGGCCGTGGTGGGTGAGGACTAGGCAGGCAAGTGAGTCAAGGACTTGGGGCTGTTGAGGTTGTAACCGGAGGGCTAATGCACAGGCAGGGGACCCCTGAAAGCCTGCAGAAATGGCTCCTCGCCTGTGAGGCGAGAGATGGGGCGTAGGAAGAGAGGACTGGAGACTGCGCGGTGAACCTGACAGGGGACGAGTCTCCAAAGCAGAGGGCCTAGCGGGAGGGGCCCGGGGAGTGGCGACAGCGAGGGGCGCTGGCTCCTGACCTCGGCCATCCTGAAGCTCTCTGGGGCGCGGTCTCAAGGGCTGCTGTGGAGACCTCGGAAACTGGGCAGGAGTCTGTGCACGGTGTCTCTTTCGCTAGCCCAGAGCTGAAACCCCGCGCTCAGCGCGTCCTCCGTCACCTGGCAACGGCCACGCCCCCTGAGCCGCGCTCGGAAACGGAGGGGCCGTCGCCTGATTGGTGTTCTAGAAAAATATGCAAATAGAAAGGCGGGACCAATGAAGCGAGGGGTCTGGACTCCTGCAGGGCCTGGAAGTCTCCTCAGATATTTGCAAAAATTAGAGACGCGGAAGAGAAGGGCCCTGTCCGGATTTCAGGTACGAAGAGTTGAAGTAATCAAATTCCTTCATTCATAAAATGTGCAAGCCCACACCCCGACTTTCCTTATTTTTCTTCTCTTCATCCCCATCACTGCTCCCAACCTGAGCCTGGGTCCCAAAGACATTCATGCTACTGTGATTGGCTACATATTTTTTGAAAATGTAGAGCATGTGTATCAGCGTATTTTTAAAAATACGTGACGGTACAATAGAGATCGTGTTATGTCCTGCTTTTTTCATACTCAGCATATTTTTTTAAGGGTGTGCCTTCGTAATCCTAGTTCACAGCATTTCAAATGGAAAATCTGCCACACTTCTTTCCATTAACCAAGCGTTAGCTAAAAGACTCCAGGTTCTCCAATACTGTACACCAAACAATGCAGCCGTGATCATTTTTGTCTGAGGTTCATTTATGAACCCACGTACAGATTCTTCTAAAATACGTTGCTAAAAACTGGCCGTGATGGTGCACGCCTATAATCCCAGCGCTGGGGAGGCAGAGACAGGAGGATCACTAGGAGTCCGAACTGTTTAATGAGACCCTCTACCAAAAAAATAAAAATATAAAATAAAATATATTGCGAGGCAGAGTCACAGACCTTTACATTCACAATCTGGGGAAAAGACAGACAGGAGCATCCACAATTAATCCTAACCTAATCCGATATTATTTAGTGCATACCATGCCCACAGACAGCAGTAAGGGAGCTCAGGGATCTAGACATTGCTATCACTGAGCACTGTTTATGATATGAAGACAGAAAAATCCCAGCCCAGGCACAGAGGAAACTACAAAGAAGCAGAAAGCATGTCTCGTATGCAATTTGAAGGAGAGAGATACAGCTGGACACCGACATGGATAAAAGGATGGGCAAAACAATGCATACTGGTGAAAGAAACAAAATGCTTGCTTTTCAGCGTTCCAGTCACAGGCCTGCTCCCTGTGCTGATTCCATAAAAGGAAGCACTAGGTGGCACCATACCACCGACAGGCCTCCCCTTGCAGAGCCTCCGAGAGAAGCACAGCCACGCCTGGCTCTGGCCCTCCTTCAGACAAGAGAGAGGGCTTGCACTGAGCTTGTTTCTCATCGTACTCAGTTTATTTCCTGGACACCTGCTATGTGCCAAACGCTGTGCTGCAGACTATGAAGAGCACACCACAGACGCTGAAGACATCATCTCCCTAATGAGTACAAGAAGCAAAGCATGCATCCTATCTGTCCCTCCCATAAGGATTTTTAAATAGTCCAAGAAAAATCCAGCAAGCACTGAAATGAGGCTCTCAGGACAGTGTCCCCTGTAATCTGGCCTTTGGACCTTAACTCCTTGAATATGTCATGTTCTTTCCCACTGCCTGGGATCTACAAGCATCGATCTCTATCTGGAGTACTGTAGCCTCCCTCTTCGCTGGGCTGGCTCCTGTCCACCCTTCCTTTGGATCTCAAATCCTCATGGAGATCTTTGCTGACCAGCCCCAGCATCAGCCTCCCTTTGTACGTACAGACTGTTTCTTAGAGCACCCCACAGTGGTAGTTACTGGTCTTGTCGTGCAAATGGTTGTAGGTTGTCTTCTCCTCCTGTCAAGCAACAAGAGAACAACGATCCCCTCTGTGTGGTCCAACCCTTTACCCACCGATGTTGGGTGTATGGTCTGAGTTTGTGTCCCAAAGTTCACCTACTGAAGCTCTACCCCTCAGGCCCAAGAATGTGACTGGAGATAGGGCCCTGAAGGAAGTGATTAAATTAAAATAAACCTTTTAGGGTAGGGAAAGCTTTTAGGGTAGACACTGACTGGCGGTCTTACAGGAAAGAGCTTGGACAAGCAAAGGAACACCAGTAACACATGTAGGCAAGGAGAAGGAACCCTTCTGAAAGCCAAGGAAAGAGGCCTCAGGAGAAAACAAATGTGCTGGCATGTTGTTCTTGGACTTCTAGACTCCAGCACACAAAGAAATAAATGCCTGGCTTTAAGCCCGTATCTATGATTCCTTGTCATAAAAGCAGCTCTAGAAAATCGATGTAACTAACCAGCACTGTGTTCATCAAATACCTACTGAGTGAATAACTATTGAGTGAGTTCTAAAATGAAGAAGTGAGAACTACCATACTAGGGAAAGGTAACTAGTAAACGTGGTCCTTGAACTTGATCTTAAATAATATGAGTTAAAGACATGGAAAGAAATAGAAAAAAAAAAAAAAAACTGAAAAACTGAACTATGGGAAAGAGCATTGGGCAGATACCAAAGCAGGACTGTAAAAATCCTGCTGTGTGGGACCAATGGATACTAATGTTGACAATGAGGCAAGGTGAGCCGCAGAAAGACTTGAAAGAATAGCAGAGAAGTGGACCATAGACAGTCAAGCGTGTACCCATTTGTTCAGATGACTCAAACATAGACTCATGAATGGCAACACCACTGCAAATCCCCTTGTTCAAACCTGGACGTAGCACCCCCTTTTCAGCACCCTCTGGGACTTCCAAGCTGCGTATTGTAATACAGAAGTAACAGCAGTCATATGTACCAGGTACCCATCACCTCAACAGCCCCCAGTGAGAATACAAAGCAAACCTCCAGAAAAGTAGGAACGCTACAAATACCCAGCCTGCAGTGCAAAGCCCTGCGCCCTAAGGGAACCTGCACCTGTAATGCGCCTCGCAGATCCTTGAGGCCATTTGGAGGGAGCCTACACAATCCAAGATGTCCTGCAAGACTAGTAACTCCCGGGAGGCAGGTGCCTCCCTGACTCAGATGCTGTGGATATCCCTACCTACCTCCTCAGGGCCACAGCCGTGTGAGGTAAGAGTGGAAACGGGCCTCCTCGTGAAGCCAACTGTAGCACACTTCCCCCTGGGGAGGTCTAAGAAGGACCAAGAGTTGCAGGCCAGTCACTGCTGAGGCCTAACTCTGAGCACATGGGTCAGAGAAAGGCAAAACGTTTAGAAGGAAGAAGAACGCAAGGAATGAAGAGGGAGTGCTCAGACCACCAAGGGGGAGGCCAGGAAGGGGCTTTCTGGGTGGCTGAGGTCTCTTCCAATGTGGCAGCAGCCCCCCCCCAAAAGCTGCATAACCTGTTCTGTTGCATTCTCCTAAATATGTGGCATTCCCCTGATAGAAATCACCTTATTTGTTTGAGCTAGATAAAGTGAGTTTTCACTGTGTCTACCCCCCAGAAATGCCCCGAACAGCAGAGTTCCTGTTTGCATAGACATTCTTATGATATGGCTGGATTTACTATACACGAAATCTAAAAACTACATTTGGGGCCCAAATGACACAGTGAAAATCACTCCAGTAATCATGTGTAATGTTCCTCCTCTAGGCTGTTGGGAAGATCAAAAGCCCACGTGTTCTAGAAAATTGTTAGCATTTATCAGCCGACCCTGTGGTCACCTTAGATGCCAGAGCAGAGTCCCAGCTGGAGAGTGCTCTCCACAGCTGTGCGGGCCGTATTTTATTCCTTTAATCTTCGCCTTTTCCGGCCTGCTGCAGACCTAACTTAACAGAACATTTGTTGAGCATTTGACATCGGCTCCCAAAGGGTCTCCAGACAGACTCCCCTCTTGATGCCTGAGGAGACAGCGAGGCTCAGGCAGATGTATTAGGAAGACAAGGAGGTCAGACACTGTAAGGCAGGGAGCAGCCGCGGCAGGAGATCATTTTTACCAGAACTCCGAAGTTTCATAACACCCAGTCATCTCCCCTGACTGAGACTGCACCCCGCCCCCCACCCCGCCCTCGCAGCCGCTCCTCCCGTCAGATTCCTTGTGGTCTGCAGGCCAAGGCTGCGGTGTGGCCTCCTGCTAGGCCTAGTACGGATTTCCAGCCCAACTGCAGCCCGGATGGGTGAAAAGCCGAGTACCTACAAATACCAATGCCCACTACAAACCCATAAATAGGTGAGCACAGATTTTTAGAAATCAAAGTATACGTAAGTTTGATGATGGGAAAATGCCCTTATTTCTACAGTCTCCTAAATGCACGCGTAGTGCTGCCTCCTCCTCCCAGAAGCCTCTCAGGGAGGAGCCCTGCCTCTGGGCTGCTAAGAATCCTGAACTACCCGTCAGTGCATTGGGCTGTTCTTGTGGGTTCGCCTCTAAGTCTCCCAGCAGCCAGGGAGGGCCGGACTTCATGTCTTCCATGGATCTATGCTGCTGACTCATACGTGGAAGTCAGTCGCGATAGGAAATACGGTGAATCCAGCGACTGGCGTTGACACGCAGTGCCAGCCCCGCCCCCGGGGCGCGCTGAGATGGTGAATGAGACTAGGCGTGGTGGCGCGCCGATAATCCCGTGCTTGGGAGGCTGAAACGGGAGGATCACTCCGAGTCTGATCTGTGCAGTGAGACCTGTAGACCCTGTACTGATTCCTTTTTCAAGGTACTAAAAAATACACTGAAAAAAGAAAGAAAGAAAATGTGATGAACGAATGGGAGATGTATATGCTATAGGCAATTAGCTCATCCATTCAGGCGCGACTGTTCTCAGCGGCGATTGCGACTAGAGGAAGCTGCGTCACCGCTATTTTACCATCCTCCAAACACAGGACCCAGCACCCACAATTCCGACGGTGAAAGGTGTGCGCTGGCTCACGGCCTGTGGAGGTTTCGGTGTGTTGTCAGCCAGCTCCAAGGCAGGGCGGCATCCGGAGGGGCCTGGCGGAGCAGGCTTGCGCGCGGCACGCAACGGGAAGCGGAGGGTGAGCCAGGAGCGAGGGGCGTGAACCCGGTCGGGCCACACCCAGGGGCCACCC